CCCCAAAACCCCAAAACCCCAAAACCCCTATATAATCAATTAAATTATTCCTGGTTATAATATTTAATGTCTGAAGGTCTGTACTTCCAGAAAGAGTGGCTCAAAGTCTGATGAGAGAACCTGGTCTACGCTGAGTGACTCAGATGCAGCGAATTCGCATGTCATAAGTGCCTAATGAAGTACCATCATCATGGAAACTGGAAATTAGTCAGATCTAAGTTCCTCATGTACTTTTTGGAAGATAATACAAAGATTGAGTGCCATTTCTGTGGCGGCAAGGATGGAAAGCATACTCATTGTAGATGGCTGACACTTGATCTTTTTAAGCGGACTAAGATTAACTTCCGGCTAGCGAAGAAGTTCAGGGATGATAATTATATCAAACTTGCACAGAGGAAATTTGATGAACTGGCAGTCAGTATTTTGGAAGAAGTCAAAAAGAAGAACGTCAGGAAAGATAGAAAGTTTAAAGGGATGTTGAAGGCTCCTGCTCAAGGGATTAATTTCCATAATTTATCAGTTCTCTGTGAAAAGTAAGCTCAATCTTGATCTTTAGAGTCGATGGCTTGAACACAGATATTTTAAATTACTGCTACAAAAATAATATTTTAGTAAAACACGAAACTCCAAATATTTATGGCTTGTACAATATTGGATCTTCAAAGCCAGAAAGTACCAAAGAAAAAGATGATGAGATTGCTCAAAAGCAAGAACAATTAGCCGCACTGAGGAAGGAAAAGCAAGAACATGAGAAGAAGTATAACCAAATAAACAAGAAGAAAGAAGAAACTGCTGAAGAATTTTATGATTCATTCAAAAAGTTTGCCCGTGAGAAAGTAATAAAAACCCTTGAAATGTATAAAGAAGACTCCTTAGATGAGCCTTCTCCAGTAAGAATCGAAGAGACTAAGGAGGTTGGTCGGATGCAGGCCCAGTTTATAGGTAAGATTGATCTCATTAACTCTAGATCTTCCTGCTCAACCCAAGTTCAATGAGGAGCATATCTACATTTGCTATAAAGCTGGCAACCAAAATTACCTACACATTAAAAAGCCAAACTGCTTTGGAGATGGCAGCTCTGACTCCATTCATGTACATATGTGCTCGTTCTACGGATTAGGAAACCTTTCTCTTGACGTAAGGAAGAAATGAGGTCGTGAAATAATCACAGAATTTGTAGACAAGTATTATCTTCCAACCTTGAAGGATTTAGAGCTGAACTATCTTGATAAAGATGATGAGCTTGTTAAAACCTTCTTGAATGAATGTATTGTTAACCCAATGGATCAATTAATCTTGAACGAAAGAGGGTTAATGAAGTACCATAAGAAGAAAAGAGTTCCATATGCTCCATATAAAGATTCTATCTTAAAATCTTTCAAAAATGTAAAAGAGAGTGTAAAGCTTGGATATTTCCAATTTAATGTAATTTCATTTTTAAATGTATCTAGAGCAAAGAAATTAGTGAGGTTGTCCAAAATTGATGTCATATCACTCAATTCCTTGAAATTGAAAACAGCAATATCACTGTTGACAGTGACTTTAACTTCGGAAATCGAGATACTCATATCGACGTGATCTCCTTCAAAAATACAAAATTCTCTTCATCAACAGGGATTAAAAAGGCTGCTGAGAATATTGTAAAAGCTATCAGCAACTCTGCTCTTCAATACAGTTTGAAAGAGATCCGTCGGAGTGGTTGAAACATCGGTGATACCAGTAAGCACACCTCTCTCATCCTTATAGTCCTTGAAGATTGCCTTAAAGACCAAGACTTAGACATTGTAGTAGTTAGTACTAAATAAAATATGTATTAATGTTAAATTTATGTTCAGTGATTAAGGATTTAGCCGGGGTTTTGGGGTTTTGGGGTTTTGGGGTTTTGGGG